CTGGCCCCCAACAATGAGTCTGCCTGTAACGAATAAGAAAAAACAATTAGAAAGAAAAGAATTAGTGAGAGCAAAAACAGTGACTTATAAGGTTAGGTGGAGATAGGGGCGCAGATTATGCGGGGGACGTGTCCCCCCACTTTTAATATCACGTAAATTCGTCCCCCGTACTTTTTCGGGCAAGTGTGTTCGCATAGAGGTTTTCAAAAGCCGGTGTGCATGAAAATAGATTTAAATTCAAAGAGACCGGATAGTCTGTGCATGATCTGATTGATCCAAAGTACAGCAAAACGATAACATTTTGAAATATTTCAAATACCTGTTTTCTATTTCAATATTTTTAAAAATGTAATTTATTGTGATTTCAAAGCTCAATTTTTAGCATCATTACTCCAGTCACACGATCCTTCACAAAAATATGAATTTCTAAAATGTATTTTCCAAAAAATAAAAAGTATACTGACTCGAAGCTTTTGAATGGTATCGTGTATAATGTTGCAAAAGCTTTTTATTTTACATAAATGCTGATCTTTGGATCCTTCTATTCATCAAAAAATCCTGAAAAACATTTACTCAACTGTTTTAAATATTGATAATAATAATAATAATTGAAAAAGGTTTCTTGAGCAGCAAATAATCATATTAGAATGATTTTTGAAGGATGTGACACTGAAGACTGGAGTAATGATGCTGAAAATTCAGCCTTGATCACAGGAATAAATTACATTTTAAAATATATTCAAATAGAAAGCAGTTATTTTAAATGGTAACACAGAGAGAGAACCACAGTCATACTCCTATGACCTCTCACCACCTACTCGAAAAATAAACATTTACAAGCCATTCTAGAATTCGCATTTTTATTTATTTATTTATTTTAATCTAAAATCACGTTAATAAATATGTTTACTAAACTGTATTATTTAACATCAAAAAGTTAATTAAGACTTATTGAAGTCTTAATACTTTTTGGTAGTTAACAATGTGATTAAAATAGTTAAAATATGTACATTTAATTAAAATAAATGTTGAATATTAAAATGTTATATATATGTGTGCGTATATATATATATATATATATATATATATATATATATATATATATATATATATATAGAGATATATATATATATATCAACATTTCTGTCCCCCTCACTGCTGAAAAGATGGCTATGCCCCTGGGTGGAGAGAGGACTTGATCTGACAATGTCACGTTTCTCAGTAAAAAAAATTTGTAATATTTATAATTGCATATTTCAATTTTTTTTCATGTTAATTAAACAGGATTGCCTTGAAAATGTGAAATGTTCAAAACATGTTAAAGTAAGTTCGCAAAAAAAACGTACATACATTTTCAGTCTTGCCAACCTTCAGCCCATCTATTTAAACCTTTCAGTGTCTCACAAAGTGATCATCTGATTTGACGATGAACTTTGAGTAATTCAGATTATTTTCCCCCTGCCTGTCGTGAGATTTGCTTTCCAGCCGAATAACTGAGAAAATCGCATTTTTTGAAGCCAAAACCTCAAACCCACAAAAGCCCTCCTTCGCAAAGCTCAGGCTCTCTGATATCACGCCATGACCCATTTCTTGTCAGCAGAACGGTACAGGCGTTTTAATTGAATTCTTCCAGTTACACAATCAAATGCTCCTGCTGCAGTGATCTGTCTTTTTTGTGAGGAACACTTGATCATTTACTTCTGAGAAAATTTAAGGCCCTCAAATAAAAGAGGTGCAAGTTTAGTTTTGTTTTCATTAGTTTGAAGATATTAGTGGAAAAGTTTCACTTTTGTTGTTGAGGTGTGGCAGCAGTGCTTGTTGAAAACATTAGGAATTTATGTAGTAAATGCAAACTAATGGGGTGTAGATACATTTATTGGCAGTTAATGTACCCAACACACACATACAGAGTTGAATGGTAGGAAAAACTGACTGCGTTGTGCTCTAGTTTCGGTGGCATTGCTGATGAAGGTACAAACAGACAGGGTCATATCTTTCAACCCTCTACGCACACTTTGGCAATATAATCACCATTGGCTAGTACATTTTTTTTTTTTTTTTTTTTTTTTTTTAACAGATTTAATTGATGTGTGTGTGTGTGTGTGTATTATGTGAGTCGTGAGCCTTCACACTAGAGTTTACGGTGTGTCAAATACAGGTATGCTGCGCATCCATTGAGATTAATTGAATTATAGTACAGATCGCTTGATGGAGAGCAATACTGCCAAGCGCTCAGTCAGAGTGTTCAGTGAGTGAAAATATATCTGTACTAAACTCATAATTAGCCAATAAGTAAAATCTAAGAATTTATTAGCCAATGGCTAACGATAGACATTATTTAGTCGCCCAGATTGAAGATGTTGTCGCATATGAGAGTGATTTACTCGCAATGTAGAGAGTTTATAACATGAATGCTTGACCTTGTGCACACATACATTCAGTATTCACTTTCACTTTACTGAAAGAGCTATAAAGTGAAATGTAGTGAGAGTGAGTGGGGCCCATCTGTGGCCCCCGAACCCCCTCTCATGCACACTAATCTGATAGCATTAAGACTTTAGACTCCACCCCAACCAGCTATTCTCAGCTGCTCATAGCTGATAAAGTCGTGGGACTCTCGTGAATGGCGGCGGACGCTGACAAGGAAGAGAAGAATTGTTGAATAAATTGTAGTAATTTTTTTAATAAAATTTTCTGGCATCTTTTCAGTTGTATGTTCACACCATTAGAGCCACACACAGTGGTGGATCACATTGTGTGGTGGTGTTTGTTGATGATGAGTGGCTGCATCAGCCATTGAATCGTGTTTCTAAGAGTAGTCTTGTAACGATCCTGACTGAACCGGCGTGGCATGTTCGTCCCGGAGTATCTGGAGTTTGACCGCTAGTAACCTCTCTCTGTCCCCATCAGCCACCTTTGTTTTGACTGCCAGGTAATTCATCACATGAATCTGATGTCACCACAGGGAAGTGCCTCGTCAGGCCGGGCGAGACTCCCTTTGTCAAACGGCAGGTCTTGTTTGTTTGTCTGCCCTATGAATCCACCTCAATCTTTCATTCTCCATCTTTTTTCTAGTGTCTTTTTTTAATCCAAAGTCAATGTTTATCGGCCCGGGGCTTTTGTCGGCAGCACTGTGCGAACTGATATGCCAGTGTTTGTTTTCCTAAAGAGCCATCGCCTGCATGCAGAGCAGGGGTATCTCCCAGCCTGTTTTTGGTGTTCCCATGCTCCTCTGTTGGCTGGGGAGCAGAGGCATGCTGGGGGAAAACATCAGTTCTATTTGGCCTCCAAACCTAGTCTGCACATTAATACATTTTTAATTAAGTAATTGTAAAGTTGTTAATAACATATCTCATTGGTATTTTGTTTTCACTCTTATGATGCAGGAATGCAAACAAACATTGATTCATATGTTTATTTACTTTTACTTTTTTTACAGTTTTTTACTTTTTTCAGTTTTTTTTTAATTTAATTTATCATGCACAATGCAGACATACGAACTCAAACTTTTTTCTATTTCTTTCTTCTTTTTTTTCCTATTTTGGTTCTAGTTTTCAACCATATTTTCCAGTCCCAGTCCTGCTCTTCTAACAATCATTTATTGACTGTTGATCACGGAAATTATTGTGCGTCTGCAAAATACCTTTCTGTCTATCAGTACATTTGAGCTGAGCAGGGAGTATTCCGACACTTAGTCAAGGTGAAAATCATTCCCTTAGAGAGAATTAATCAATAGGGAAAAAAAGATAAGTCAATAACAAACCAGAGTTCTCATGGCTGCAAGCCTGGTTAATGTGACTTTATCGGCAAGTTTTTACACTTGAGACTTCTCCTGTCGTTGATCAATCAAAGAACAAATACAAATAGTCCCACAGACAGCTGAAAAGAGATCCGTCCTCGGTAAAACTCCCGATTAGCCCTACTGAATTACAGCCACAGGGATTTTTGTTAGCAGTGAGTATTGAGAGTGGTTTTCATGCTTTGTATGTTTAGTAACACGCCGACAGCGTTCTGCATTAAGAGCCGTAGAACCACAAGGCCAACAGATACGAGAGATAAGACTGAGACGGGAGCAAAAGTCAAACCAATTCACAAACGCAAATGCAGTTGCAAAGTTCTTCTGTTTGGTTTTTGAAGTGAAAGTGACCATTTCAAATGGAAACCATCATTTCTGCTTTTCCTCTGACCTTTTGATATTTTCAATAGATTTTTGGCCTTATCTGGTTTTCACTGTTCCTTTTTAAAGGGTCAGTTCAATTAAAATGATCTCTATTCATGGATCATACTAAAATGCTAGTTGGATCCATATGCAAGATGTGTTTTTGTAATTCAAGTTCCCTGTGGCCTGTTTCAGTCTGCATGGGTCGCTCTCGCTTTCCTGTACCACCTGTCGACATCCATATGCATGTCCCTCACTTTCCACCGTACCAGCAGCCACCTGTTTCCATTCGTAACTAACTCTCTCACTTTCCTTGTCTTTCTCTTCTGCTCAACAGACACCTGTTTTTTATGCATGTGAAAGAGGATCTGCATCGTGGACATCTGCGGATGTGCTCGGAGCAGGCCGAAGAGCTCAGCTCTCTCCTGGCCCAGGCCGAGTTCGGTGACTATAACCAGAACACAGCCAAGTACTGGTACACTGAACTCTGTGGCACAGAGCCAAACCAAGCCACCATCAACAGGTAAACAAACAAAATGTGAATCATAATTATCTCTATGACCTTCAACTTGTTTTTTTTAAATAATGTTTTAAAAAAACATTAAGTGAGTGTTCTGGGTTTAATAAAAGTTAAGCTGTATTGACAGCAATTACAGAAAATAATTACTTGTCGTTCAATGGGGGGGGGGGGGGG